ATACAGAGGCTTAGGGCGGGAGTCTGGTAAATTTTATTATGACATTACCAAAATCTTTCGATTCCCCCCCACCCCCTTGGCAGTGAAAAAAATGACCTGTTCCTAGGCCCGAATAACTATTTCTATAGGAGCCCCTAATCACATTGTAACACCTGTTTGTGTCTCATTGTGTCTGTGTCTGTGTCTGTCAATGTGTTCACAGAAGTCTTATGACCTTGGTTTTTTGTATTCTTGCTGAAATTGCCAATGAACTTGAACACACCTGCAGTAAACAATCTGTCAAAATGTAAACCGGATTTCCCATAAAAAAAATATTTCATTATCGCCAAGGTCAGTGAATCGAACAGGGTCATTGTACATGGCAGATTTACTTTTTATTTTGTGTGGGCGTAGTACAGATCACTGGCCAAAAATAGTAAGCTGAGAAGAAACATAAAGGTTATTAATATCTGGCTCTTTTGACACCCTTCAACAACGCTTTATCTTTAGAACAGCTCCACAAATCTTTCCTCTCTCCGTCGTAAGTCGCATGTTATCTGTTATATCGATACATACAGGATGCAATTATGTACGTGAGAAGTTATCGTCACAGATGTGAACATAAACTGTCTGACTGGCCTTTAAAACGTCACAAGATGAGCCTGCCTCGTTATTTCCATTAGTTCTTCATGCTCCTTATTGTTTTACCATCGCCTGTATTGTGTTTTTCTGTTTTTCTGTTATTACCGAGCTAATACTTTGTAGTCTCCACTAACCTGAAAGGAATTTTGACTCAAAATATCTAGTTGTAGATAACCATTAAATAAACAGACACGGTAGCTTTATTTTCTTTCCATATAAAAGAAAATCATTTTTTTCCTATCTCTCATCACTTATCCAATTCCAAGTTCCGATTCACATAAGATCAGTATATTTTACGGACGTTGTACAATGACGTTTACGAAGAACGTGCACCTTGTTACTCTTCACAGAAACGTGACTTGTTGCACAGACCTCTCTTTTGCGAAAGGAAGAAGAATCTTACAATTTTAGGATTATGCACTACTGTATCACTCAGAATTTCCTACTGAAAATTACCGGTTTTTTATTCAGTCAACGATTTCTTAGCTGAACTCTAATACGCACACCGATCTGTGTGCAAAATATTCCTTGATGGACACGCTTGCCCACACAAATCGACAGGAACTAAGAGGAAATATGAATTAATTTGATTGATTTGTCACCCTAAGCCCACACCGGCTATAAAAAACGTGCTATATTGTAAGCAAACATTTCAAAAGTGTTTACTTAAAAGCTTACTGCAAAAAAACGGGTGAAATTTGTAAAAGTTTCCTTGTATTCTGAAAAATGCTTTCCTTGCTTTTTCATTTACATTTCCCGCAGGTAAATTCAGCACGTGTCTCGTCATGCCATTTTAGCCTAGGTTTTTTCCTGCGAGAAAAATCTTCTTCCTGTTCATAATCATGAATTTGTTTCTTTAAGTCTTCTTGTCACATAAACAGGAAGCTTGAGATAGTGGAATTTAGCCTTTGACCACTAGAAGTCTTAGAGATCACAAACCACCGTGACTAGAAGATAAATTTATCTACTTTCAATGATAGTTCTGTCACTATCTATTACGTGACAGAGTAAATGGCGTAGGCAATCAGACTGCAATATTCGTTAAAGAACGCAATTAAATTTTATACCAAATCGGGTAAAAGCGAGAGTGCCTGCCTCTCATGGCTGTGGCCGTCGTTGGATTCTTGTACACATGAGCACGAGCTGCCAAATTTCGATAGGAAGAATCGTAGCGCTTCAGTGCGCAATATGACATCAACGGAACAGCTATTAAAATTCGAAAAACATCCCGCCAATTTTATACATTTCACAAGAAGTCCTGGAGGTTGCGGTACGCAGACCAAATGAATTAAGGATAACGTTTCAACCAGCCTACACTAACTTTAAATTGTACAAATATTTGTTAAAATGAAAAGAGATATTTTCTGACACTTAATACAAGCTTTTTTGACTGATTATTAATAGCTCTGACTTCCGCTTAATCAATTCTGTCAAGGAATGACATATTGTGAAATCCCTTTATCACTGCGGTTTAGTTACGACTCAAGGGTTTAAGTGTCGCAGGAAGAAACGGATTTGAAGCATTTTTTTTTTAATTATTCCAAAAAAAATAATGCCTGCACTAAAATTGTTTTACGGTCTCCTATCTAAACAACCTGTTTCCTTTTAAGCTAAGCGCTAAAGGCACCATCCAGATCCTGTTTGTAATATTTGTCACGACCACATAAATATTGATCCTGCTTCAATCTTCAATTTGTCACACGTCAAGATACGCGTTATATAACTGAAGAACAATATTATTAATTGACGCTTTTGAATACACGAACAAAACGATTTCAGTTGTCTAAACAACCCCATTTCATCTTGGACCTGAATCCGTCCCCCTTGGAAATACCGTTGTGAGTTGCCTTCAACTATGACGATCTCTGCAGACTACATGTATCTCTCCCAAATTGTTTTTCGTTTCCGTTGAGAGATCACAGAAGTCTCATCTTTGACCTCGCTTCAGCAAATTCAACAAGGCCTTCTAACCACAAAGCGCATTCCAGAACGATAGCCTGTCCGCAGCACTTGATTTCAACTTCCTGTATAAAGACCTCTCCGTTGAGCAA